TGATGGTTCTGACTACTTGCTTCAGAAACGTGACAGGCTGGGGCTGAGCTCTTGCATGGAATGGACTGTCCCTGTCCTGGAAAAGAAGCTGTTGCTACGCTGCTCAGTGCTGCTGCCGCTTAACCATACATCTCAATATGCCCATTTGTTGATCATTGATGGTACTTAAATTACTCATGGAAAACTTCTGCTTCCTTAAACTTCCTTCCTTTTCCTCTCTTCAGTGCATTTTCTCTTTCTCCTCCACTTCTGTTCCTTTATGGTACTTCAGTGGTTATGTTCCTATTTCCTGTTGCTATTAGTGGGGACCTAAAGGCTTCACTACAGCAAAGGTGTACTAATGGTGTTATTTCAAACCACCTTTAGATGCAAGGCAGCCAGTACCACATATTTCTAGTTTGTTGGATGGGGAGACATGGTAGGGTGGCTTTTAGAGAAGGGCGTAGGGTAGCTATCAACCAGCAATCTGAATCTATGATGTGGTGCCTTTGCTGAGAGGTCACAGGAGACCCTCAGTGCTTCCCATGTCCCTAACTCAGATGCAGAGACAGGGCTGCTCCCACTTGTGAGATGCCTCCAGGCACATCCTCTTATCCCAGTTCATTGGAGCTGAAAGGGAGATGGAGGTCTTTCTGTGCAGAGGGATCTGGCTGCCCCAGCTGCACACAGCTCCGTGGAGCTGATGCTCAATCCCCTTCCCACTTGGTTTTCTTTTCTTTCAGATGCTTCTCAGCTTCATGGCAAAGGGTCCAATACTCAGCAGCGCAAGTTGTGACGTCTGCAAGAAGGGGAGCTACAGCACGCATAGGATAAAGCCAAGAGGAACAGGTCACGGACTTTGGATACCAGCTGTGTCTTTGAGGTTTTTTCCTTTCTTTCTTTCTTTTTTCCCTCATGACAACTGGAGACTGAACCACAATGAGTTGCTCATTGGTGTGTTGGCTCGGAGGCGCTCAGAGCTAAGCCCCACACAAGGGCTGCCTTGAGCCATGCCCTAATGAGAGATGCATTTTGTAGCACTGTTTTATCGCTGCTGCCCTTCACGCATTCCCTGGCACTGGCAGGAGCTGGAACTCGCAGGGAGACATGGGTGGCTTAGCTTCTTGCAGGGGATTCTTGCCCACCTCTGTCTGTATCTGCCAAGTACCTCCAAGTCCAGTTACCTCCTTGGTCTCCCAGTGGAGGGTATGGAAGGTGCTTCTTTCTTCTGCTTTGGATTTACTTGGATAATTCTAGCACTGCCAGTGCTTTCTGAAGACATTTGAGAACTGTTCAATTGTACTATAAAACACTGCTACAGTTCATTGGAGGACTTAACGTTTCCTGTGTGGTGAATCTAATGAACCACCTGATGTTCCCCTCTGGAGGAGAAGGAAGACTCTTTAGAGAGACATTTTCAGATGCAGTCATTGACTTTGGGAATTCTACTTCTTTCGGGTTTTGGATTTTTTTTCCTCCAAAGGGATGCTTTTTTCCTGCTCAGTTTTATCCTCATTACCATTGAATGCATTGGATTGATTGGGACACTTCTCAGCATGTCACATGTATAGGAAGATATAATTCCAGTGCCTTTTATGGTGGAGCAAGAATGGACTAGCGACACACATTTCAACCCTATTTTGTGTGCTCCTTAACCCTTTTTTAATCATTCTGTATTTAAAATGTATTCTGTTTATTTAATAGAGCTTTTTATGGTTGCACATCAAAAAAGAAAAAAACAAAAACCTGCACTGTCTGGACTCCAGTGGTGTCCTGGTGCCTGTGAACACAGCACCAAACCCAGCAAGAACACCAGTTTGTAGTTGAGGACGTGCAGGTGGGTTCCAGACCCTCCCCTAAAGCCATTCTTTCCTAGGGTCGCCAGTTAGGATCTCTTTGGTGGGCAGAGGGAATGATTTAGATTAACCAAGGTCACTACTAGTCAGATGAATTCCAGAGAATAACACTGCTCTCCTTGATGACTTCTGCACTAGGATCACGTGCTTGTTGCAGCTGCAGGAATGGAACCTTCTAGAATTGGGGGGTGTCTTGTCTTGTGAAATTTTAACTTTCAGACCTAAATACTTCTCCTGAGCACCCTTTCAATCAGTGCATTGCTAAGGGCAGGCTGTGGATCCAGCGGAGCTCTGTGGGGTTTGATTTTTCTGCTCTTCCCCCAGTATGCCTTTGCTCAGCCTCCTCCCCCTGCCCCCCCTAGCCACATCTGAATCGTGCAGTAGTAGCGCTGATCCACATGGACTTCACTGGTATTTCAAGCAAAAGCTTGCAGCCTTCCTTTGGGAGCTTTGGGAAGGATGCTAACCCAGAGTATACCAGCAAATCTTTACTTTAGTTTTCCCTGGTTTTGACTGTTTTCAGTTTGAGCTGATAGATAATTTCCCAAGATCAGTGCATTGTTTGTATTTAAATAGAATAAGCAGCTCAGATGATTTAAAATTTGTTTACAGAAAATACCTAGGTTGTAGCAAAAGAGCCAAAGACAGAACTAGATTTAAAATGAAGCACAGCAGTTATTGATGGACTCTGAGCAGTGGATGTCGCATGGTTCCCGTTGAAGGCCTGATCCTGAGAGGTACTTTGCACCTTCAACTTCCCTGGTAGCTGACAGAGTGCTTGGATACCTGCAGGATAGGGACCCTCAGCGAGTGACTTGAGGTACTGGTACTGGTTCTACTCCCTCTTTGCTTTCACTTGACTGCTTCTGCTGGGAAGCACCGTGTGCGTGGCCGGAGCAGAATGCCCTCCTTCTAGGAATTTAGCGAAGCCTCTTGCCTCAGGGAAATGTTTCTTTGGTGGAATTTCTGTGGGATATTTTTTCTTTACATGCTATAATTAATGAGTGAATGGGATGGAGCAGAGTCATGGCAAGGCAGAACTGTGCAGAGGCCCGGCAGTGAATGGGAGCCAGGATTCTGGCATCTCTGCCTTGAGAGGCAACTTGCAACGCTCCGTGGCATGTGCTTCAGACAGCAGCTCCTTTTGGTGTAAGAGCTGCAGGTTACTATGGTATTTTTTAGTGTGTTGGGACTGTCTTGCTGAAGATGGTGGGGGTGGTATGCAAACTGTTCATCTTGTACAGAACAACTGAATAAATTGTTTCAAAGTTTCCAAAATGCTTTTTTTCCCCATCTCCTTACCTCTAGTTTCATTATTTTGGTTTTAAGAATTTCAGCTTGGATGATTGTCTCTTGATCATCTGTTTCTTGATTAATGAATTATTTGCTGTTTTAAGTAAAGCCTCTTACGTAGTAGGTAAACTACAGCTCTGTTTCTAGCAATGGTTGTGGTAGAATTACATATTCTTGTACAATGTGCTCCTGCTGGTGCTTGAAGTTGACATCTGCTGGAAAGCACACATGAGGTTCAGCCCTTGCAGCAATGGTGTGATCCTGCAGGACACTTTGATTCATGAAGGTAAAATAATGGTGTTAATCTCCAGAGCCTAGTGGATGTGCAGTGAATGCTTACAGCTGCTTTTGGTGACAGTAGAATTTCATAGAATCACAGAGTGGTTTGGGTTGGAAAAGACCTCTAAAGCTGATGCAGTTCCAACACCCTGCCACAGGCAGGGACACCTTCCACTAGACCAGGTTGCCCCAAGCCCCGTCCAACCTGGCCTTGAACACTGCCAGGGATGGGGCAGCCACAGCTTCTCTGGGCACCCTGTGCCAGCGCCTCAGCACCCTCACAGGGAAGAGCTTCTGCCTAAGAGCTCATCTCACTCTCCCTTCTGGCAGGTTAAAGCCATTCCCATTTGTCCTGTCACAGTCCAGTCCTTATCAGTTTACTGGGGTTTGGTTATTAGCTGAAATTTTGGGGAAAAGAATGTGCTCTAGATGTGGAAGCCCCTGGTACCAACCCTGTGTGATTTGCTGTTTTCCTGCAGCTGCAGGTCCCATTTCTGAGTGCACTTCACTCCCATCTAATGCTTATTAGTCCCAGCTTTAATGCTGCTCCAGCAGTTTCCCTCTTGGAAAAGAGCCAACAGCTAAAATGAACAGTCTCAGTTTTTAACTTTGACTCTGAAGTGGCGTCTTCTTGTAAAGCCAAAGATGAGGAGTCTGTGTAACCAAGAAAGAAAACCCAACTTCTGATTGGAATCACTGCCTTTTTATTTTGTACTATAAATAGAATTCCCCTCTATTTCCCATTCCCTTACACGAGTAAATGAAACATGTAGCTGCGTGTAACTCCAACCAGTAAAATACCAGCACAAACAGCTTTGAACCGTGAGGTGAGCGAACTGTTCCGAAGGCACTCTGCATTTGGGTACAGCTGCTTGCTTTACATGACCCTCTTGTGTTGGGCAGTACTGCCACCTCTTCACGTACTTTTTGTTGACCTCTCTGGTCTGTGATTGCTCCTCCTGGATCTACAGCTGACACCGTCAAAGTACATCTGCTTCACTCTTCCCCAGCAGCATAGGCACGTAGGTGAACAAGATGATGGTGTTTAGGTGTTTGCATGGTGACACTGAACTGAGATGTGTAGCACACCTTTGTTTTTACAGAGCTGGTGTTCTCAGAAAATGATCCCATCGTTCATCGTGAGTTGTGCATGATGGAACCGTCTGGCTTACCAACATGCAGCTGATGGGACCAGCTCCTGCTGGTCACCTCAGAGTCGTTTTGGCCTTCAGTCTCTCTAATGACTGCTGTGTACAGCTTTTTATGCGACTACATTGAGGAAACTGCAGGTTCTACCGAGTTTTTGGACTTCAGGTACTTCACAGTCCTGAGGCTTTTGTCTTGGGTTTTGTTAGGTTTAGTGAGTAAGAAGGGATGAAGAGGGGTAGAAGGTTTTGCTGTTGTCCTGATAAACATGTTCTCTACTGCTGGTGATGCTTTTCTGCAGTGTATGACAGCAAGCAGTGTGGCTTCGTAGCATGGCTGGGGCAGAGGCTCTAGCATTTTGGAAGACGCAAAGGAGGGCAAGGATTTGCAGTGATCTGGTAGGTAACAAGTGGTGCAGCTCTGACCAGCTGCTCTTCAGGAAAGTTTCTAAAGTGGAGGGAGCGCTGTGTAGTTACTTCCTGACACCAAGACTGCCAACTCCTGGATCGACATCTCCTTGTTGAGGTAACTGTTGTACTGAGCCGTGGTTAGCCTTCCGCTTTTCAGGGCATCCTCAATTGAGAACTCTCTACCAGACTTCCTGTCAAGGATCACAGACGATTCCCCATTGGGACCCTTTATTGAGATCTCTTCCCAGTCACATTCTTGGCTCTTCAGTTTGACAAACAGGCTCCACTCAATGAGGCCAAACACATGAGCCTCCTCTGGAGACATTTCTTTTCCTGTATCGGGGTCAATGACCACAATGGAGCGCCTCAGGTGGTTCTCTCTTTGTTCCCTCTTGATAGCCACTGTCTTGAGGCGATTTTGGAGTTGCTCAATCTCTGCATCTTTTTCTCTGGATAACTGCTTCAGATCGTCTAACTCTCTTTCCAAAGCTTGGAATCTGGAGTCCAGGTTTATTCCACTGTCCACATGAGTCATGTTTCTCAAATCCTGAGCTTCTGTTGCTGTGAGTTCAATCTCTGACTGCAGTCTCCTGGTTTCCATCAGCAGGTTCTGTTTCTCAAGGTGGAGTTTGTGGTTCTCCTCCCTTAGTAAATCTAGCTCCTTTGACGACTTGGAGTTGTTGAACTCCACCTCAGACAGCCTGGTTTCGAGGCAATTAATATCTGCATCTAGCTCCCTCTTACGCCTACTTTCTTCCTCCAGATTGCTCTTCAGCTTTTGAATTTCATACTCAGTGTCTCCTTTGTCCACTTGGACGCTCTCTGAAAAGACCACTTTCTCTTTGACCTCCATCTTCTCCAAAGAAAGGAGCTTCTTTCTCAGGGCTTCTAGTTCAGTTTGCAGGACTTGTCTCCGGTGCTTCTCTTCTTCTAGCTCCAGCTTGAGGAGGGAATGCTCCTTCTCTTGCTGGGGATCTTGCTGAAGGATCACTTTTTGTTTCACAGTTACTCGTTCTGTTGTCTCCCTCTCTTGTTCTTCCAGCTCATTCAGCCTAATTCTCAGTCTCTGCACCTCCAGCTCGGCCTCTCTGCGGGCCTGTCTCTCCTTTTCAAGTTCTTCGAGCTGACGCTCCAGCTCCGACCGTCTCCTCTGCAGCTTGCGGAGCTCCTCGCGGAGGCCGTCAATCTGCTTCAGCTCACTCTCAATACTCTGAGAGAAGGAGTTGACTTCAGCTTTCAAGGCGGGATCTTGCTCATATTTCACTACTTCCTGCTGGACCACTTTCTCTTTCACCTGGGAGAGTTCTTCCTCTTTCTGTCTTACTTTCTCTTCTTGAAGAAGGCGCTCCCTCTCCAGGTCAATGTGTTTCATCTGTTCATCTGCTAGTTGCACTCTCAGGGACTCGACCTCCTCTCTAGTCTTGGGGTCTTCCCGAAACTGCAGAATTTCTTGAACAACTTCTTTCATCTGCACTTGAGGTTTGGTGTCTTTCAAAGCTTGTATCTCTTGTTTCAGCTGGTAGATTTCAAGGTCAGCTCTTTCAATTGCTCCTGTCCTCTCGATGATTTCCTCACGGAGTCGCTGTAGTTCCTTTTCAGTTTCTGGATCATTCTTGTACTTAATGACCTCCTTAATGACTTCCTTGACTTCTACCAGTGGCCCTTTGTTCCTCAGAGCAGCCAACTCGTTCTGGCAGCTCTTCAGCTGTTCGTCACCACCTCGGTATTTCCTCTCCTGTTCTACCAGCTCCAAACGAAGGTTGGCAACTTCATTTTCAGCCTTGGGATCTGGACGCACAATCTCACGCACTTTCTCCTGGACGACCACCTTGGAGTTCTCTTCCTCCAGCAGCTGGATCTTCCTGAGCAGCTCAGCCTTCTCCCTCTTGTTGGAACGACTCTTGGACTTCTCATCTTCGTACTGGCGCCGGAGCTCATTCACCTCTCTCTCGATGGCCAAGTCTTTCTCCACCTTCAGCACCTCTTTGACAGTGATTTTGCCCTCGGCAATGGCCCGTTCCTTCTCAAGACGTTTGAGCTTGTCCTGGAGGAAGCTGAGCTCTTCCTCGTGCTTCTGCCGAAGGGCGCTCTCCCTCTGCTTGTTCTCTTGCAACATCCGGAATTCCATCTCCAGCTGGGGATCGTTCTGCAGCTTCAGCACCTCCTTCTCTGTTACCTTCTCCTGCTCTTTGTTCTTCTTGCTGGACAGCACAGCAATTTGTTGGCGTAAAAGGATGACTTCGTTCTCTCTAGTTCCTTCTTGCCTCCTGAGCTCTTCCAATTCTTCTTTGAGCTTCAGGATTTCATCAGCTTGAGCCTTGTCTTGTTCAATACGCAGTACCTCTTTCACTATATACTCCTGCCCTCCCTCCCTCTTCTCGTGCTCCAGAACACGCAGCCTGATTTTAAGAGCCTCCAGCTCATCCTGGAGGACCTGGTTCTTGCGCTGCTCTTCGGCCAGGTTTTGCTGCAGTTTGTGGAAGCTCTCCTCCAGCTGAGGGTCAGGCACTTTCTTCAGCAGTTCTTTCTTAACAATAGTTTCTTGGGGCTTCTGGTTTTGCAGGTGGACAATGTTGCTCTGAATGGCTTTGATCTCTGCTTCTAGCTGCTGCCGACGCTGCGTCTCATCTTCAAGTTCTTTTTTCAACTTCCAGACTTCTTCCACAGGCCTTAGGGATTTTTTGCTCTGGACAAAGTCTTCTGTCACTTGAACCTCTGGTTGCTGTTGTTGAGAAAAGAATGTGTAGTCAACAACTACCAAACCATCATACTCTTGGTGCTCATTTTCAGTGCCTCCTGTGACAAAATGACAGGAGGATGTTGAGCTTGCTTGATGGAGGTTGTCTGCTGCCAATGCTGACCAGGGGGTATATGCAAACAGGCTGCTTTTGAACAGATCTGTGGATTCCCAGCATGGGAACTGCTTTTGCAATGCCCACTGCTGTCAGAACAAAGCTTTTAGCCACAAGGGACACTAATGGTGCGTGGGTTTAGCAAAAGTGTTAAAAATGATGCAGAGCTTCCTGGGGTGAGTGGGAGGTGGGGCTGGGAAACACAGAGGGGATGTCTATCTGATTTAAGTGTGTGCTGCTTAATGACTGGGGGCTATGAAACACTGCATTTGTTTCCAGTTCAATATGTAACACAAAGGCACATGTGTGTATTATTTCCATGCCTCCTTTCAGTATCATGGTACTCCTGGTGATCACTTACCTGCCGCAGAAGGCTCTGAGCAAACTCCAGGTTCTGCAGCCTCTGTTTGTTCACAGCATTTACTTCGGTGAACTTGGCTGCCAGAACAGCTTCCTGTGGATCAAAAATGCATTGAAAAGAGGTGGTGGAACCAGGGGGGCTTGGGCAAGACTTGCTGGATAGAAGCAACAGGCCCTTAAGAAGTAACCCGGGGTGCTCTTCTACAAACCTTCTATCTGCTTTGGGGGAGGAAGAGTGATTCTCAGCCACATGCACACTTGTACTGTATGTTTCTTACTCAAGATATGCAGAAAGATGCAGCTGAGGAAGAACCAGGTGGACACTTCCACCTGCCTCAATAGGCAGGATGAGTTTAAGGCAGGTAACAGATCCTGCATAAATAAGTAGCTTGTGGCCTGCTCTCACTGTGTTCCTATCTAGCATGGTGTTTGGTGGTGAAATCTCACTCTGAAAGTCTGGAGGGACAAAAACTTTCAGGTTTTGGCTTTTCTCCCCCTTTTGCCCTATCAGAAAGTGCTACATCCAGTGTCTTCCCTTTCTTATTCTGGCCAGTCCAACCTAGAAAATGGATGGGTTCAGAATGATGAAAAATCCCTTCCTCCCCTGACTCTCTGCCTTCTCTACAGTCCCTTCAGGACCAAAGTCACTGACAGTAACTAGAAATGCCTGCAAAATCCCCACTGGTCCCATAAGCTGTCAACTGCTTTAGCTCTCTGTGGGCAACCCCTTCTTTACCTCCTCTTTCACTTTCGCAGCTGGAGACTGGAGTCTGGGCTTCTTGCTCATATACCCATTGCGGCCATTCTCCAGGTCCAGGATGGACCGTAGCTTCTCAGCTTCCAACTCATAGTCCTGTGGGAAGAAATTCCCAGGCAGAAAGTGAGATTACCAGGTCCCCATCATGCACAGATCCCTCCTAGACCCTGGCTTTAATGACTTCTTCCCTGGAGCTGTGTTCTAGGTGAGTTGCTGAGGTTGATGGGACCCAGACCACCGGTGGCAGAACTTCCCAGGAGTTTGGGTTGGGTACTGCTGAGTGACAATAACAGTGCAGCTGCAGTGTGTGCTGACTTTGGATTTACCTCTTACCAATGCTGGGTTTGAAGTGGAAACCCTCCTTTGCCAGACAATAAATAGCCTGTTGTCATGCTAATGGCCACATGATGTCAATGTTGGAGTAGATACAACCTGGGTTTAGCTTATCAGTTGACTGAGCAAGAGCACTAGGCTTTCTTTATGGAGCTCTCTGCAGGATGTAGGTGATTCTCCCCCTGTACTCTGATGGAGACCCCATCTGCAGTCCTGTTCCAGCTCTGTGGTTCCCCGTAGAAGAAAGATCGGGACCTGTCAGAGTGGGTCTGGAGGAGGCCATAAAAACGATCAGAGGGATGAACACCTCTTACGAGGACAGGCTGAGAGAGCTGGGGTTTTTGAGCCTGGAGAAAAGAAGGCTCCAGGGAGACCTTATTGTGGCCTTTCAGTACCTAGAGGGAGCTTAGAAGAAAGCTGGGGACAGACTTTTTGGCAGGGCTTTAGCAATAGGACAAGGGATGATTATAAACTAAAGGTTTTAAACTAAAATAGTGGAGATTCAGACTAGATATAAGGAAGAAATTTTTTACGATGAGAGTGCTGAGGTGCTGGCACAGGGTGCCCAGAGAAGCTGTGGCTGCCCCATCCCTGGCAGTTTTCAAGGGCAGGTTGGACAGGGCTTGGAGCAACCTGCTCTAGTTGCAGTGCGGTTGGACTAGATGGCCTTTAAAGGTCCCTTCCAATCCAAACTATTCTGTGCTTCTATGTTAGTTCTCCCAACAGCAGACTCACAGTCCTTACCTTCACTGCCTGCTGGTACTGTTGAGCTGTGGCAGAGACCTTCTGCACCTCCTGTTCTTTGCTCGCAATGTCACTGAGGAGCGCCTGGCATGCACAGAGACACAGGTCAGAGGGAACACAAAATCCAAACACATTCTTGAGCCTTTTTGAGGGTTGCCAGTAAAATTACAACCCTGAGAATGACAGCCTTCTCGAGCTGCCCTGCTACGTGGAAGGTAGGACAGTGGGACCTTATAGCATAAAAGCAGGTAAAGCAAGTAACTATTTATAGTTTTCTATTTGATGTTCAGGAGCTATCTCAGTCCTATTCCTTATCTTTTAGTGTTGTTCCTCCTCTCCCTGTGGAGGTCCCGGAGTGCTCTCAGACAGAATTACCGCTTGGTTCTTTAGCTTGATCTCCACTTGCTGGATGTTGTCAGTCTCCTGCGGCTCATAGTTGGGGATGTTGCACAGGAACTGGTTGACTTTGTCATAGTTGCTGCGGTAGTTGGAATAGGCGCTTTCTGCTTTCTGCAGGGTCTGCATTCTGCAGGGAAATCAGCTCAGCTTCAGCACTGTCACATCTCCCTTGTCTCCTGCTAGCACCTCCTAACCCATCCCCACTTCCCCTGCTCCCTAAAAGACACAGATCTGAGCCAGAGTTGTTCCTTTGCCAAAATCCTCATCTCTCTTGCAAGAGCATTTACTCCTACAGCCTGCCCAGATTGACCCAGCATGCCAGAAACCTCTGTTCCTCCTTAGACTTCCCTGGAAGCCCTTCTGCAACTTCTCATTCCCCTGATAGTGTTATGCCTCTTCCAGATTCACAGAATCCCAGATTGGTTTAGGTTAGAAGGACCTTAAAGCTCATCCAGTTCCAACCCCCTGCCATGGGCAGGGACACCTTCCACTAGAGCAGGTTGCTCCAAGCCCCTGTGTCCAACCTGGCCTTGAACACTGCCAGGGATGGGGCAGTCACAGCTTCTCTGGGCACCCTGTGCCAGTGCCTCAGCACCCTCACAGGGAAGAACTTCTGCCTAATGTCTAATCTAAATCTATACTCTTTCAGTTCAAAACCATTTCCCCTTGTCTTATCACTACATGCCCAGTGGCATTCCACATTCAGTGTAGTTCCAACTCCGCTGTAAATATTCTGGCTATCCAGGTTGGTCCAGCCCTGGCTAGATCCTGTCCCGGAGTCCTACCTGTGGTCGATCTGCTTGCTGAGGTTGTTGAAGCGCTGGTTGAGTTTGTAGAGCTCGGCTTCCTGACGTTCAATATCAGGGCAGTGCTCCTGGAACTTGCTGGCCAGGGTGTTGGAGCAAGTCTTTGTCCTTAGCAAGTTCTGCTCTGCTTCATTGAGCAGGAACCTTTTGGACTGGAGCTCGGTGCTCATGGCCTGTGGAAAAAGCAGGAGAGAGGGGTTTTCCAGGGCTGCACACATGCCAGTCTTCTGTCACTGTTCCCCTGCAACTATAGCAACTGCACTGGAGCTGCAGAGGATGCTGAGGAAAGCTGAGCTGCAGTAGTGCTATGAGCTGGGGAGAAGCAAGTTAGGGGCCTGCACTGTAAGCAGAGCCATTTGATAAACCTGATAGGGTGAAAAGCTAGCTCTTGCTCCCTTCTCCACCTGCTAACCTTTAAAAGCAAGCATGCTATGTGCAAAATATATTTAGTCCTCCTTATGCAAGCCTTAAACCCTGTTCCTGCCAGTGCAATGACTCCAGAAGGAGCTGTGGAAGTTTTGCATGCTGCTCTGAACCTGGGGACTTGGTGGAAAAGTTGAAGAAGGTCAGAAAGCTCTGGCCTAACCAGTTCTTGGCCTTTCTACAGCAGAAGGATTGCCCATTTTGGCTGATAGATTTTCCTAGTGGTAAGTGTTCTTGAAGCCTTGCTATGACCAGCTTTTCAAGTGTCAGGCTGCTGTGTAGCTTTTCCCAGACTATTTTCTCAGACTTCATTTCTCCATTAGTCCTTTTGTCAGATCACAAGTATTCAACTGGCATTTGATTTCTGGTTTGGGGCTGTGAATGGTTTGTGTTTAAAGTAGGTGAGATTACTGCAGTTAACGTGAGGTTTCATCTCCAGCTGGGATGAGACATCCCTTTACCAACTGATTTGAGCTTGTGACTTGAGCAGTAGTTGCTCCAGCTCTTGCAAAGTGGTTTTGTATGTGGAGCATGTCAGTAGGGCAGAAAGATCTCTGGAGAAAAGACTCACCAGCAGCTCTTCTTTCTTACGGTCTACCACCCGCAAGTCCTCTGGTACCGTGTCATCTGTGACCAGTTGGTTCTCGTAGGTAGACAACAGATCCCGGCCTTGTTGGAGACTCCTCTCAAGGTGCGTGGCCACCTCAACTCTGAATGGACAAAAAATGAAAGGTGTTTATGCACATCAGCACCTACCTCCTGCAGGATCCTATGTTATGCTAGGCTCAAGCCATGATTTAAGGCATGACTTACTTCTCTTGGGCAGCGCTGAGCAGCTGGACCACGCGGTCGTACTTCTTGTTGGTGTTCTCCACCTTGTTCTTTACCAAGGTGGCACTGCCGGTGTTGGGCACGGATTCAATGAAGACCTCACACTCCTGGATCTTCCTCGTTTTCTCGGGTTCAATGCGACGAACCTCATTGGTGATGTTCTGCAGTAGGAATAAAGCCTCTATAGCAACTGAACGAGGGCCTTGTGTCTACCCTTGGCTTGCCAGAGTGAGAAGAGAGGTCAGGGCTGAGGGCTTGTTTGATGGTAGGTGTCTTTCAGCCCTGTAGGGCTGGAAAAATACTATTTTGGCTATTTTCTGTTGATTTTTCTCTTGAGTTCTGGGCAGTCTAGCTAGCCCTTAGCAAGGAAACTGCTTGGGGAGTGGTTCCCAGCAGCTCCAGCTCTGTTAGAAATGTGCTGGACTCATCTGGATCACTGGGCTCTGCAGCCTGACGGATGAATTCTGGCCTAAACATCAATGCGCTGCAGGCAGTTGGAGCAATTTGCTTTCACTTGTGGTGGCACCTGGATTTTTACACAGCCCTTGGCAGGTGATGTAACCAGGACCTGAACTTCCTCCTAAACCAAGGGAGGTTTGTGGCATGGAGCCTGGCCTAATTAGGGGTCTGAAAGAGAGGAAAGGATTGGGATATACCAGGACTGGAGCCTAGCAGAGCAGGTTCACAGGGAGAAACCGTGCCCTGGACCATAGGTGTTTTTCTGCCCCTTCCTGAGCTGGTGATGGTGGTGGCAAAGCCCTGCTTGCTGAGACAAAGGAACAGGGCATGGGATAGGGGATATGAGCAGGATCAAAACTCAAGGGCTCCCCTCTCTCCCTCAGTGCCTGCACTCTGCAGCCATCACCTTCTTCCCATTCAACCTTTCTGTGACCGAGGTGGGCCAGGACTAGGGCAAAGGTTTATGGCTTATGAGGCTGCTCAAAGGGCTGCTCCCCATCTCCACTGGAAGAGGCAGCAGCTGTAAGCATCACTCCACCCCTGTGTGTTCCTGGGCTCAGGGAGTACTTCCAGCATGCAGTATAGTGAGGACCACGCTGCAGACCCCCTCGGAGGAGCATGGTCCATGTACAGTACCGTCCATATGCTGCCACAGCCCCATACCTTGAGGTCCTTGGAACGCTCGGTGCTGTCCTGCACAGCCCGACTCTGCTCCAGCGGTGGACGGAGGTTTGCTGTTATGGCTTTCTCCTGCTTGTCCAGGTCGCTGTTCACCTTCTCCAGTCCTGCCAGAAGCTGACGTCCCCGAACCGATGCAGCATCTGGATAATAGCGAGGGGAACAGGCTCAAGATGGTTGGAAGCTGGGCCTAGGCTCAATCCCACTGGTGAGTGCAAAACCCACAGCTGCCTCCTCTCCCTGAGCCCTGCCTGCTGCAGCCGCAGCCTGGCTGCTCTGCCCCTGCACCCAGCCCAACACTGTTGTCCCCAGAACCCTTAGGAGATGGAAAGCTCCCAATGACATCCCTCTGAGATAGACCACCACCTAATTTCAAGGCTACAGCAGCCTTCATGTGCCTGGGAAGGGGCAAGCTGCAGGCTGCTCTTCCAGAGCCCCACCTCCAATGCTGTCTGCCTTCAACCCCTCATATCGCTGCTGGAGGATGTTCTTGCAGTTGGCTGTCTTCTCCTTCATGCTCACGTAGTGATTGGCGATTCTGCATAACAGGACAGCACGGACACGAGATCAGTCAGGCCCCTGTCCCCTCCGTAGCCCTAGTGCTCATCCCAGTGCTCCTCCAGGAAGGAGATGCAGCCCTAGAGGGGCTTGGGGAACCTGCCCCCTCTCAAGGCAGCCATGAAGCAAGGTGGGTAGAGGCACCTTCACCCTGTATTGGCAAAAGGGTAGAGCAGTGTGGTCACCAGAGGGCTGAGAGCAGGGGACAGGCAGCAAAGGCAGCCATCGGCCTGCTGAGGGAGGCATGGGCAGCTCCCCCC